TGATGAGCACTGTCAGTCTTACTTCCAAAGTTCAAGTAGCCCGCTTCGACTCTGTTTCGCTCAGGTACGGAATTTTTTTTGTACAATGTGTCGTTTTCTTAATAATAAATCACCTAAGCGGCTCACTAAATATAGTGTATTTGACTGTATTTTGCGTAGAAAAAAAACCCGAAGCTTTTACTCACCGAAACTGTTCACCTAGGAAATACCGAAGCTGAAGTAGAGCGAATGGAAATACACTTTAAGAAAAGTGGGGTAAAAGACAGTCGCTAGTTATGAACGAATTAGAAAGGCCTCAAGCAGCTGCTTTTGATATCAAGCTGTAGCTTCTAATATTTAAAAAAGTTACTGTACAGCAGCTTGTGTTAGCGGATGCGCCTTGTTGTGAAGGCCGCATGGATTGGCTGTAGTTTTAAAGTGAATTAAAAGTATATGCGAAGGACAGAGAAGGATGAGATGTGGATGACGGTGGTGATGAAGTATTATACTGTGCCTAAAAATTTAGGTCCGTCCGAAACCATTTGAAGAGATCTGTTCTAATGGAGGTGCAACAGAGCACTGTACAGCAGCATCGGCTTACTATGAAGTGTGCTCGAATGCAGGCGTCGATACGTCACTACCGTCGGATTGCGGTAAGTTGCGCACGCAATTCTCTCCTGTTGTGGCCGTAATTGAAATTCCTATTAATTAAATGAGGCCGTTTTGATGACGGTTTTTTGGTGATAACTCTGCACTGTCTTGTTGAGTAGTGGGAACTAAGTAGCTGGTATTTTGATTTGCTCGCCATTTTGTATTTAGTATTATTTCAGTAAAGTGCGATAATGGGCTGAATTTGGGCGAAGAACGGAAAGTCGAGAAGCCGCCCACTGAACGCGACGTTGTGTTTGTCGTGGAAGAAAGCAAATGTTTGGAAAGTCAGAAAGACAAAGTAGAAAAACTCGCACAAAGGATCAGTCGCGAACAGCAGTACGTGAACTGCGCAATGACATATCAAAGAACTAGAGAG